GGACGGGGCCATGGCCAGCGGCCTCTGCGGGGCAGCTGCAATGGAAAAGACAGTGCGGTCAGGGCGAGGCGAGGCCGTGCACCGGGCACGCTTTACACGCTTGCACGCCCACACGCCTGCAAATGAGCAGCTCCGCGCCCGGAGCTCCTGCGGGGCCGCGCTCTCCACCACTTAGCCCAGAAGCACAGCAAAGCCACAGCTCCAACCGCGTCTCCGCGACTCCAACCCCAGCCTGTCCCCGGGCGCCGTTCCAACCCCGCCGCAGCCGCCAGGGCATTTCTCCACACCCATTCTACAGATGCCAGAAGGGAGGCACCGGATTGCAGGCCCCGCTGAACTTTCGCTTGAGCTCATTCCTCCTCACTCGCTACAACGCTACATTTTTATTTTTAACACTGTTGGCTTTTGTTTTTATTTTTTATATTTTTTACCTTTTTTTTAACCTATTAGAATGCCATGATATGAAATGGTAGGAAGACCTTTAATAAAGTCAGCCCTGTCCATTTTTTAAAGCAATTTAAAATGTATTGAGTGAATTTTTGCTTTTTGGAGACAAAAATCTCTGTATGTAGTCCAGGTTGGCCCTGAACTTGCTATGTAGCCTGGGCTCGTGGTCTTCCTGCCTCAGCCTCCCAAGGGCTGGGACTACAGGCTTGCACTACTATGCACAACTCTTGTTTTTTTTTTAATTCATTTTATTTTTAGTGCTAAAGATTGAACCCAGGGCCTACCACTGAGCTACCTCCCACCCTAAAAATATACGAATTCTTTAACTTAAAGTCACAACCCTCTGTCCTTTTTTCAACAAACATTTAGACAGACGAGCCACACTGCTTGATGCCACAAGAACCTGCCAACAAGTTACAGGGGGTCGCCCTACTGATAACACAGTTCACCAGCACCCCGACATCCCCCAATGAAAGCAACACCATGATGGTCACGGAGAACACAAGAGTAAAGGAAGGACAGTTCACCCCAGAGCAGCAGCAAGCCTCTCCACGCCCGGCTCCATCGCTGTTCTGCCACCTCCACGCCCCGCCTCGGGCAGACCCTCCAGGTCCGCACCCTTCCTCCGACCCGCACGGAACCCCGAGCCTCCCTAGGTCACCCAGAGGCACAAGCGGGAAGAACCGCCGCCCGTGCGGGTTCTCACGGTGGCACCGACGTTCACAAGCCGCGCCCTGCCGTACCCCGGCCTGTGCAGGTTGCCAGGGTAGAACCCACAACACAGCCAAACCCGCCCCCGACTCCTACAGCGGGCCTCTAAACTCGTCCTCCGCGTATTCCTCAGCCGGACGCGGCGGTGCCTGGAATACAAAGGCCAGCAGCGTGGCTGCCTGGAACGCCCGCCATTCTCATCACTGTGTCGCCGTGTACCGTGCGGACCTGCAGGGTGGCCAGCCCGATCTCCCCACAGGGACACAAAAACGCAGGGACCCACCCAAAGGGAAAAGAGAGAGAAGGCCAGAATTCAAACACGAACCCTGAAGTGTTTACCACCGGTGAATTCATTTCCCTCCCCTTCCTGAAACACCGGGCAGAGGCCAGGACTGGAGGCCCAGTGAGCCTCGAGCAGGAAACATTTCTGCTCCATGGTCACGAGCCGCATTTCTAACCCTGGCCAGTCACTTTCCACCTGGATGCGTCTCACCGTAGACACTGGTGAAAGAACGCGCTGGCTTGGGTCTGTTTTCTCCTAGCATAAACACCCGAGACCACACGTTCTGGGAGAGGACATTAGGAACGGGGAGCTGGTGAGATCAAAAGCCAACCGCACCACAACATGTGCAGAGGAGCCGAATTCTTATAATAAACAAAGCACACAAACAGGAAGGAATGTCCGCTCAGCAGGGTGAGCTCACGGTTGACGTTACACAGCGCCCTAAGTGTACGTTCTCAGGGCTATCTGGTGACACCTCACAGAACTCCACCTATTTTATTTGTTTGTAAATTACTCGAATGTTTTACAACTGCCTTATGTCATCTTGGTACACAAAGATTACTGTACAGCAGATTACCTACTGAGAAAAAGGCATCGGGAGGGGAGCAAGGACTTCACATCCATGGCTAGGGGACAAGCCTGACAAGATCTCCTAGGAAATACCTTTGCCTTTAAATAATTTTCCAAAGCTTCCATTTGCAAGAAACATCCAAGATTACACGTTCATTTAAAAAAAAATAGAAGAAAATTGATCTGGTTCTTCTAAAAACTAGGGTCGGGCTAGGATGTAGCTCAGTGGTGCCATACCTGCCTGGCAAGTGCAAGATCCTGAGTTCATCCCCTGTATAGCAAAAAAAAAAAAAAAAAAAAAAAAAAAAAAAAGTGCCAATCAAATAAAAACTGAACAGGAGAACAGAGGAGGCAGTATAAGTTTGCCCTAGAGTAAAAATCATTTAGGAATTGAGAATATAAAATGCAATGTTGATCACCTGCATCAAGTCCAGGCTTGAAAAGAATAACTACCAGAAATATGAAAGGACTCAGCTCTTCCCTTTCTATGTATGTTCCCAAGAGAATTAAGGACATCACAGCACAGCGATCCATGCGTGTCCACATTTAACGCAGCACAATTCATATTCGCTGAATCCTGGAAGGGGCCTCTGTCCACCCAGGGAAGAAAAGATAAAGAAAAAGAGGAATTTATGCACAGTGCCACAAGGGAAGAAGAACTTGAGTCCCGTGTGGGAAAACAGATGCACCTTGGGACCACAGTGCCCGGTGAAATAAACCAGATACACCCGCGGACACACCACACGGCTTCTCTTCTACGAGGAATCCGAAGTATAAATAAAGAGTAAAATAAAAGACGGAGACTAGGAAGTAGTCAGGCCTTCCTCAAAGGGGGAGAGACGGAGGTGAGGGAAGGGGATGAAAAAAGAAACCAAGATGTGTTCTGCACAGGGCACCAGCTTTACACCAGGAATGGAAATATCATGTACTACACACAGGCATTAGTACCAATAATATTAAATATTAAATAAAGACTTAAGAAGGACATGGAAGTCCATTAGGAAATCTTGAAACAAAAAATAAAAATTGGAGAGCAATGTACCATTGCCAATTGCCTTTGGTTTTTGATAGTGGAATTGAAGTTACGTAGCAGAATGGTGTCAGATGTCAGTGGGGCCGCTACGGGTAAAAATGTCACAGTGCACACACAAGAACAGGCACATCCACACGTTGAGTGGAAACAAACATGAAGCAGCCTTATGAGGTGCGGGACGCAGGCGATGCGCACCCAGGTGTCTGCTACGCCGCCCTTCTTTTCGCTTTTCTGGACACCCACGCACTCCCAGGATGAAAAGCTAGGGGGAGACGTCCCTTGCTCCCCGGGCTAAACACGCCACACCTCCTCTACCAGGCCACAGAGACGCTCCTGCCTCTCTTAATGAACGTCTGTAAATCCCTTGGCTTTGAACCCTGAAGTCATCTGTGCTTATTTTTAATGTACAAACCTACGTTGAAAACATTAGCACATTTCCCATCTCTGACACACCCGTCCTCCGCCTGCATCAAAGCCCATGAGCTCCACTTGCAGGACCGGCGCAGCCAAGGAGGAAGGCGCTTCCTTCCTTAAGGGTGGGCGGGAGATCGCCTGTCCCTGCCAGTCCTGGCATTTCATTTGCACCGTCAGCGAACTGCCCTGTGTTTCCACTCTGGAAGCATCTGTGGCGCACCTTTTATCCAACCACACAAACACACAGGGCTGCCTCGAGCACTCAGGTTCCTGCTTCTCCTGAGTGGAACAGGGGTTAAAACAGGCCCCGTCCAGGGACCCGAGGCGAAACCATGCCCGCCACCTCCTTCTGCCCCACGCTGGCTTCTGCCACCTCCCGGGCTCTCCCAGCACCCTGGCCCCTTCGCGGCAGCTTCTTCACACAAACACGGGTAAAGCAAGACCTCAGTGCCCTACACAGGTAGAAACGTCCCATGTTTACGACGCTTAGATTTTCCCCGTGAAAATACTTTTCAAACAGCCAACATGTGAGCCTTCCGTGAAGTTTTTAGAAAGACAGCTTCCTTCAAATAGCAGAGGGGCTGGGGATTTAGCTCATTAGTTCCACCGCCTGCTTCTCAAGCTCAAGGTCCCGAGTTCGATTCCCGGTACCAAAATAAATAAATAGCCAAGTGAGCCCCATGGTAAATGCAGATTTCAGGGCGCACAGATTCACCTATGGACACCAGTGTCCCGGCCTCTGTATGTCGTGGCGGGGGGGCATTGTTATCCCTTCTGCTTACGTTGGCTGTGAACGTAAAACTGCTCTCAAAAACAGTCCATTCAAAAACCAAATAAAAACAGAAAGTCACAAAATCTACAGTTTTATGTATCTATTTATCAATATTAGAACATTCCCAGTAAATAGTATCAACCTGCTGTGACTGTTCAACATTCAGGCAGCTAATGCCTTTTTTTCTTCTTTTCGGTTTTTTGAGACAGGGTCTCACTATGTAGCTGAGACTGACCTAGAACTCACTTTGTAGCCCAGGCTGGTCTCAAACTCACAGCAATCCTCCTGCCTCACTCTCCCAAGTGCTGGGATTACAGGCGTGCACCACCATGCCCAGCTCACCTTTTTTCTTCTTTATACTGACTTAAAACTAACAATGCTGACTCCCAATTTCTTCCCAGAAAAATACTAATTCATTCTCATTTCAAAACAAGCTGTAAGTCTTTTCCCCAAAGGTGTATTTTAGAAAGAAGAGTAGCACTCACTGGGTAAAAGAGGTGAATTCTCCTAGCCCTTTGGTGACTGGAGTAGTGTGGAGGGAAAAGCCAGCTCAGAACTGGCATGGAGGGTCTCTGTGTCAGTCAAGGAACTACACAAGGAAGGCTGAAGAAGACGCTGAGGAGAGACCCCGTAGAGCTTCCTGCGAAGACAGGAAGGTGTATAAGTCTTAAATAAAGATCTAGCAGCCAGACATG